GTTAGTGAATATAGCCTAAAATAAAACCAATCTAGATAGAAAAATGTCAAAAGGTCATATAGTTAAGATTTTATCCACAACCAAATTAAAATAGAAGAATATTTAATTCATTGAACAAATGGTTGTAGTCTAGTGGTTTCACCCTATGTCCCTATCGGTAGAAACCAAACCAGTGCTCGATTTATCGGTAGAAACCAAACCAGTGCTCGATTTCTACTTTGATGAACCACTAGGCCACTGCGATATATGTAGGGTGGCGGTAGACTTAGTTATAGTTCTGAGTTTCTCTTTAGCAAAGTAACCTAAATTAAATTCATTGCAAGAAGAAAAGGCACAACATCTTGAAGGGCAGAAAAGAGTCGCTGATTAACTTAGACATATATATCTTGTATTGTGTCATATGTATACACAACGATTACGAACAAAAGGGTTGGAACATTAATTAAGTTGTGAATTAATAATTTTACCATTAACCACAAAAAGGAGAAAAACTAAACAGTTAGTAAGGCACATCAGTATCCTAATCTCAATTCAAAACATTGTGTATAGTGACACTAAGTTGAGGCATAAAAGGAACTACCAAAGACACTAGCTACAACTAGAGTTTGACTATTGTAAAAAGGTTTCCAATAATTCTGTTAATATAGTCTATGCATTATTAGTTATAATTTAACACAAATATTTTCATGATCAAACAATTGTGGGGTTAATATGACAAGGCAATGAGAAGAAACTATATACACATAGTGACAAGGGTACATTTGCAGTTTTGCAAGAAATGTTTCTTGTTCCATTTATGATTGTTCTATAAGCCTTAGATAGGAAGCACATTGTCAATATTGATTTGTCAATGTAGTTTGGTTCAATGTAACCACATTCGAAATGTTCTAAAAAATAATTGGTTGAGATTTCTTCTACAGAAAAATGTCAAAAGGACATATGGTTAAGCTTATCCACAACCAAATTAAGATAGAAGAATAGTTAATTCATTGAACAAATGGTGGTTGTCTAGTGGTTCCACCCTATCGGTGGAAACTTAGTTTTAGTGAACCATTAGGCCACTGCGATATATATATGGTGGCCAGACTTAGTTATAGTTTGAGTTTCTCTATAGCAAAGAAACCTAATATAAATTCATGGCAAGAAGAAGAAAAGACACAACGGCAAAAAAGAGTAGCTCATTAATCTAGACATATATCTTTTGTATCATGTCATAGGCGTTCAACGGTTACGAATACAAGGGGCTAAAATGGATACCCAATTAGATAAGTAATGTAGCATGTGTGGCAAGTGTCGATGTGAAAAG